GGACCTCAGCGCTTCCCAAACTATCCTCCTTAGCTCGTTGAAGTTTGCCCTCCTGAAACTACGAAACTATGAATTTATTCTGACCCTCAGTTCCTAGGAACACAAAGCTGGCCTTTAGAACTTACTGGGTGTGCCTACACATGCAATTAATGCAAAGCAATAACTCTAGAGTAGTTTGAGCCAGAGTAAACTGCTCCCAGGTGCAGCATCTACACATGTGCCCAGGACAGCACTAATTCGAGCCAGGACAGAGCAGTCCCAGGCTGGCAGGGGGCATTGGGGTGGGGGATCAGCTCCAGGTGGTGGCGTTGGGGGGCAGAAGGGCTGGCTGGGGGGCTGAAAGTGTGGACATGTGTGGCTAGACAGCAGGCAAGAGTCTGGCACCTGGATGGCTGGGCTGATGGAGCAATTTATGCCCATGGTCAGTATCTACATGTGAGCTTATATCTTAGAGCCTTCCAGTGGGAAGCAAGGTGTGGGGAGGCAAGGAGGGAAAAGAGGGAAGCAGAGGTGGCCAGGAGGCAGGCACAAGCAGGAGGCAAGCTGCTTGACCAGACCACACTACTTACCTTTCCATTGCCTGTCCCCCAGCAGCAGTGGGAAGGACAATTTTCCTGAGCAGGGACAGGATCCCTCAGGCCCCAGGGGAGGTGCACCTAGGCCAAGGGTCAGGGAGGATCTAGTCAGAGAACTGACTAGAGGGACTGGATGTATTTAAATCAGCTGGTCATGGTGAAGGATGTTTCAGAGCCTTGCCACCTCCTTCTCTAGCTCTCTTGCCTTCTCCCTGAGGGACACCACCAAGAGGCACTGCTCACATCACAGGCATTCCCCAAACTAGCCATCGCCAGAAAGAATCTGCAAGCTGCAGTCTCCACAGTGCCAAACCTGCACCTGGATTGAAGCCTTGACAGTGAGTGCTCCTGCCTAGACAGACACCTCACAGGTGAAAGCAGAGGCAGTGCCTCTGGGATTGTGATGTCCTCCAGGCATTTCCCTGGGTTTCTTAATCCGCCACCTCTCTCTTGCTGCCCTTCTTCCAAGCAGACCTTTCCTACCAAACTTGCCTAGAAGCTAGCCTGTTTACTACTCCAAAAGGTCCCTCCTTTTCCCCCTCCTTCTTGTCACAAAGTTTAAAGGCTCCCCTTCAAAGAGGGGAGGGCAACTTACCTGCAAGCTGGCTAGTGGACTGCTTGCAGACTGCTTCCCCCATTTGCTGCACCTGTTCGCTCGCTATATTATATGTAATACGATCAATATTATATTACATTACATATATATTGTATTTAAATTTGCTACAAAGATCTTCTCTAAAAAATTTGCCAAGAGGAGAGGGTCCAAATAAAATTGACCAAAACCATTCTGATAAATATTGCAAAGCATTTTCAGTTAGTCACATGAGCAAAAAATCGATTTGGAAAGGTATAACTTAAGTCTTATATTTATGTTTCAGCATTGCAGCCCAGTGCCCTACAGAACAGAATGGGCCCTGTATAAAACTAGTAATACTATCCATCTGAAAACTTGCTGGATTGATGAGTCTAAACAATTTCTTTTTTGTTTTAAAAAGAACACACACTTCAAAGGATACTTGCAAAATGTCTCTATCACCACAGGCAGATCTATGCTTAGAAAGTTGTGACGTGGTACAAAACTGCTGAGGCTCACTGAAACAGAAAGAAAATGGGAAAAAAAGGTTGCATAAGAAACATAACACTACCATTTGCGGTTTAGAATTGTATGGAAAAAAAAAAATCAGACTTGCCATGATGAAAAGTAAGAACCAAATGATTGATTTTTTTAAAACTATTTCCCATTTTTAAATTTACACAGCTAAAGGAAATGATTCTATACCTACTCCTTTCCCCCCACAAAATTATTTACCAAGTTTCAGTCAGTTACTCCTGGGCAAACTATAAAGTGATCTACTTTTGGCCCTTAACCTGAATTGTGCAGTGCATGGGAAAACAAATGCACTAACATGCATGCCACACAAAACAGGATAAGGGCTGAAGGTCATAAAACTTTACTTTTGCCACTTACATGCAATAAGGAAAGAACCCTACCCAACTAAGAGGCCAAATCCACTTTCCAGTAATGGCTCTGATGGAAAAAGGCTCAGTTTGAAAATAAAAAAATGGCTATTTGATATGGCAACCCTTCAAACACAGTGAAGCACTGCGAATTGTTTTTTCACAAAACAAGTTTCCAGAGTAGGACTAAATTTTTAGGTCGCAAAGGGCAACAATAACATAGCTCCTTCCTGATTTTTTTTCTTTTAGGACTGCTTGACAATAAAAAGCAGGTTGTTTTGCAGAATTAAGAGCTAAGTGGGAAATGTCCACTAAAATTCCATTACTCTAATCAGCAAGATATTGAAAAACAGAACAATAACAATTGTTCTTGGAGTACCTTCAGTTTGTTCAGCTGCAGAACCAAAGAAAGGGAGCTTAAAATAATTATCCCACATTATTCTTAAATCTCTGCTGCTGTACACAGAATGTCACAAATACAAATTAGGCATTCATGCCAACATAATCAGGCCAAAAAAACATTAAAAATCTCAACGTGAAAAGTTATTTTGTGTCAGACTACCAGCATATACTTCAAACAAGAAGAAAAATAATACATTTAAAAAAAGTAATCAATAATACTGGTATAAAAATGTATCCAGCAGAAGGAAATAAGCAAGTTAACTAGAAATTTGAGCCCATGCTGAAGTTTCTCTCTAATTAGGAATGTACCTAGCTATATTCTTATCTTTCCTCTTGAATAAGCATATTTTCTGAACATGTTTTTCAGAAGAAAACCCAATGATTTCAAGGAAGCTCCATACAAAGGACCAGATTGTAACTTCAAGCACAGCCCTGACAAGGGACAGTTCATACCACAACAAAGGATCGGTCCTGACAGGCTATGTATCAGAGGCACACACTGGAGACCAAATTATATTCCTTTCTTGTGGCTGCTCGAGAAGAAGCAGTAAACCACCACCCATTACCTAAATCAGCCTCAGCCTACAACCTAGCCCATGCCCTTTAGCCAGCAGGTGAATAACGTGAAGGATCTACCCTCTACTCACATGTTCCTGGAAGGGAATGAACTTCTACATACCTGCACCTAGCATATGAGTAGGCTTCCTAGAGTGTTTAACAATCTAGCCCCAGAGGCAGGGTTTAAAACCAACAGTTGTTTTATGTCTCAATACAAACTGAGGGGTTGGTGCATGACTTCACATGAAAACTTTATAATGACTCCAAAGCCTCTGAGTTTACATCGGGAAATGTACATGTACAATTTCACAAAAAGGTTCTGCTAGGATAAGTGCTATCTATCAGAGAAATGATCTTTTCATGCTTTTTAAAATAAAAATAATCTGAATGTGGCACATGGTTTCTATTATCTCTGTATCTTGTGGCTATTTAATTTTTATTTCTAACTACTCCATACACTTGCAGAGTCGGCAACAAGGAAAGGAACTACAAATGGATTCTGCACAGAACAACCATATGGAAAAGCCCTCCCATACCTTATTCAATCAGCCCTCTCATACGTAACACAAACCTGTATACTGAAGATGCATGGGGTGTCCTACAAACAGCATGTCAACCTGAGGTGGATGCTTCACCCTGATTAACTTTGTTTGGTTTTCTAAAGAAGGTATCACACAAAAACTTGGAACAAAGTTCTTCTGGCAATCTGTGTTGGTTCGGCAAACTTGGCTGGACTCAATAGCTTTTCGTGCTGGCAAACAGACATACTGGAAAGGAAAACTGAAGTCATTATCAAATTTAGGGGGTTTTATGATGGATCAAAAATATAAAATACTACATGTTAGAATTACATCCTGACCATGTTGATGCAGATGGAGATCTCTGAATGCCCTTCAGATCTTCTGTACAGTGACTGATGCATCCACATTTAGCATTGCATTCTACCAGTTTTGAGGGGGAAGGTTATGTGCACAAAATTAGTATCAATATGAACTGACACAAGCACAAAATCTAAATGTAGGTATATCAGGGTTGCACACATGACTGGTGATGACCAGGCTGTCTGGAAATATTCCAGGACCATGTTACAGTATGAACTAACGGCCTCATTACAGGGTTTGACTTCCTTTCCACCAGTGGTACTCACAAGAACTTAAATTGTTGTTATAACAAACAAAAAGCTATAGCACACAACATTTCTGGCACTTTTGACTGCTAAGATGTCACTCTGAGCTAACCCACAGTTTTCTAGAATCTGACAACAGCACCCACTCATTCTACAGATTAAGAGACTATGATCTCTCTCCCTTCTGCTCAGGTCAGGAAGACAGAGACATGAATAGAAGCCATCAGGAAGTGGATTTTATTTCCTGATCCCTTACACCAGATTTACAACATTTTCCTAAAGGCAAGCAAAAAAAAAAATTTCTCTCTCTACTGTCCCAAGCCTAGGAAAGGAGATGGATTGGAGATTTCAGTCAACAGCAAGGCTGACAACCCTGGCACGTGAGCTTGTGTCACTCGTTTTCCATTAAACTCAATCCAAATTACTTCCATTCCAGTCTATACTCTGCAGGGGAGAAAAGATCTAGTAGACCAAGTAGGAGTTTAAAAGCTGCTTAAACAACTCAGCTGTTAACAGTCCCTCACTCATCATAGACCCAAGAAAGAGTCTTTCCCCAAAGAAGCAACCTTGCAACCAAGAATAGAGGAAAAAATCCAGTCAGGTGTGTTATTACCTAATGGCTAGTTGACACCAAAGATTAAATAAAATTGATAGTTTTTAGAAGTGAACCAATATATTGGTCACATATTGGATCAGCACTAGTAAAAGGAAAATTAACATTATCAGCTATTTGCTGTTTTTGGCTGATGTAGCCAATAATATCACTGATAAATGCTGAGTGCATGTGTGCAGCCACATGCATTCACGAGGCTAGGAATACCACCCAGCAGCTTGGAGAGTGGCATCCTACCAGTAAGTCTGTGTTGGGGGGGAAGCACTGTGGGGGAGGGACAGGGCATGGAGGAAAGGAAGGGACAAGGTGCCCACGGTGAGGGAGAGAGTGGGGCAGAGGTAGGCACTGTCCAGCCAGGGTGGTGAATTGGACCCTATGGTGGGGCAAGGGACAGAGTGGCCCTAAGCCCACAGTGGGCAACCTGCCTCCACCCCAGGCACAAGTCTGTGTGTGTGTGGGGGGGGGGGGCACATGCCCCCATGCCTCCCCAGGGATTGCGTGCAGTGGCTGGGAGCAGCCCTGTCTCCCCACCCCCCTCACCCTTTGGATGAGCTGCCCACGGCAGGGGCTATACCAGCCTCTTCCCAGTGAGGGGGAGAGTGGGGGCTGGGAGTGGGGCGAACTCAGCTGTGCACGACAGATGGTGGTGGCACTGGGAGGGATGGCTATGGGGATTTTTGGGGTGGCCATCCTGACCCCACCCCAGGGTCCCATTCACTGCCCTGGCTGGGAAGGGCCTACCCCAGCCCCTGCCCCACTACTTCCCTCACCATGGGGGCCTGGATCTGCTCCCCCCATGTCCCTTCCCTCCCCCATGCCTCTTCCCTGCTACAGACTTACCAGCAGGATGCTGCTCTCCAAGTTGCAGGGCTGCATTCCTGTAAATGAGCTATCGGATCAGTATCAGTCGATACGGCTGCTTAATAATTGGCTATCAGTATTGGCCCAGAAAATCTTTATTGCTGCACCCCAATAGTCTTTGTTCAATTTGTAGGGGATTGGAAGCTTCACATCAGGGTGGCACATCAATTAACTGGGGACTGATTTATTCTCTTCTTCTAAGGTAAGCAGTCAGGGTCAAAATTAAGGTATATTACCTTGGGTTGCTGTAACTCAGGCTGTACAAGTTTTAAGTTCCTGGGGGCTACATACCCCATAAGCAGCACCAGTGTGGGCCATGCACTACACAGACGTTCCCGTTGCTTCGCAAGACCGCGTGGGAAGCGGCTCCCCACACTGCTGTGCCATATGGGCACACTGGCATAATTCTCCCCCTTGCTCCACAACCACTGCCCTTTTAGAGCATGCTCTACCCCCTTATGCAGCCTGGCCTCGCTCTTAGCTCCCTGTGTTGGGTCAACCTGTCCTGCCTCCTGGGGCAGAGGCAGGAAACAGCAGCTAGGAGGGGAAATCCAGAGACTCCAGCTGCTCTTTCAGCCAAAGCAATGGCGGGGAGTGGTGGCTGGGTGAGATCTTGAGGGCCATAATTTAACCATTCATGGGCTGCACACAGCCAGCAGGCTACCAGCTGGGTAGCTCTACTGCAAAGGCAGGCAAAGTCTGGCTTACAGGCCAGATCTGGCTGGCAGTGGACTCCATTTCCCAGCAGCCTCTGCCCGCATAACTAGGACCAGTTTCCATGGAGACCCCAGCAGCAGCTCTGCTGTGACAGCACAGAGCCAGGGTTTCCAAAAAGACTGGTCCCAACACTGCTGGCAGGCAGCAGCAGCACCAGCCTCTTCCTGATGGGGAAGATGAAGAAGGGCTGTGCTTTGGGCAGGAGAGGGACAGGCTAGGTCACCACCACCTGTGCAGGGGAGGGATTACTAAGGGGAATTCTGAAGTAGCTAGAGCCCCTCAAGTCCCCCCTGCCCCGGGCAGAGGCATGCAGGCTACACATCGTAGCTGTGCCCCAGCTCCAGACCACACTGTCACTGCCACAATATCCCAGCTGGGCTCTGGAGCAGCTCTGCATCCTGCTGCACGCCCTGCCAACGCTGCTGGAGCCAGTCTCCATGGAAACCCCAGCCACCCACTATCACAGCCCAGCTGCTGCAGGGTTCTCCATGGAAACTGGCCCCAGCCATGCAGGTGGGGGCTGCTGGGAAATGGAGTCCGGCCACCAGCCAGATCCACCACTTTGCCCACCCCTGCTCTACTGTAACCTATACTTTCCTATGGCTGAGTGAACTGCTAGACATACTCCACAGTTGTTTACCTGGAACCTTCCCAAACACTTAATTTTAATACGAATTCCTATATTTTGAGAGAGATGAGTGCCTAACCATAAAGAAAAACTTTACATTTTCCCTTATTCTTCAAGAAGACTAAGGGTGAGAAGGAGAAAAATATTAGATCTTGTAGGGTGCTGAACTCTTCAGGCCCTGCTCCACCATGGCACTTAAGAACACTTAATTTTAGCCCTCTGAGCTGTCCCACTGATTTCAGATGCTTAATGATGAGCAGGCACTCAAATGCTTTGTTGGATAAAGGTCTAGAAGTCTCAGCACCTGCAGAATCAAAAGTCATAATGAGCAATTAACCCTTGTTCTCAAGAGCTATCGTGGCTCATTTATTCACCTCTGTTCTTCATTCAAAGCTTAAAATGTAGGAGAGTTGAAACAAAGTGAGAAAGAATGACTTCTTGGCGAGTTATATGGGTTTGGGAGGCCTGGAATTCAAGTGAAAACCAGGAATATTACTGTTTGCCTAACTCTTATGGGTACTGAGAAATTTAATTTATATTTAACAAATGTTTTGGAGGTGCTCACATGGAAAGTGCAATTAAACGTTTACAATTTTAAGTGCATTTGTGATCTACCAATCTGAACATCAGCCTAAGTAACTTACCTGGTGGCTGTTCAAATTATTGCTGTATGAAAAGCAAATATCTGTGAGGCTGTTGTTACTACAGCATTCAACAGTGCCATCAAGTCTTCTGTAGACTAAAGAACACAACCAATTAATTTCATGTAGGGAGAAAGTGACAGAGTTATAATAAATTGCACTTTATTTCAAAGCAGGAAAATTAGTCTCTGAATAAAATCAAACATTTCTGCAGCCTGTTTAATGAATAAAACTTCATCTGGGGAGCCTGTCAGCCATAACTGAAAGTAAGTTTTGCTATCCTAAGAACTTTGCCAGATTTCAGCCATTTCTCCCACATGCATACCTTTTCATCTTAATAAATCCCCTTCTGATACTAAGGGCAGACTACTACACTTTTGTTACATATTAGGAGTTACCAAATAATTTGATCTGCCTACAGTTAACACCAAGTTAGACCTGTGCAAAATTCAAACTTAAGACACTCTTAACCTTGGTTTAGCATCTGATTTTTCAATGTAAACTAGATGTATATTGAGTCATTCCAAAAATACAAGGAGCTGCACCAGTTTAACTATAACAGATTTTTTCAGCTGACTGAAGTTAAATAAGTACCCTTGCACTTATTTAAACAAGGGCTATGAGCTTCCTACATACCACTGCACTCTCCGACTTCTATCTACATAAGGCTTCAGACCCTGGAGCCTGCATAAGCAAGAGCTGGCATCTCCTGCTCTAGGACTAGCCAAGGAGAGGTTTTTTTACTTGTAACTGAGCATTACATGAACTCTTTTATAAGCTAGTTTTATTTTTTTTATTTTTTTTAGGAGGCCTTTAGAAGATTGGTTTCTTTATGGCTTCACACCAATTTAATTTTTTTCTCATCAATTTGTAAATAAGAACATTATAAATACTAAATATTTAGAAACAAAGCTAATATGTGAACTGTTGATATTTTGATGAACGACAGCTGTTGCAGTTTGAACAAAGTTCATTACATTTCAAAGGAATAATGATCACTGCTGGAGGCTCACCGCTGAAAAAATGCAGACAGACTGGTTCAACTGGGCTGCTAACACAATACACACCAACTGGGCTTGGAATAAGTTTAAGACACTGATAATACAATATAAATAGGATTGGGAGACTTATGAAATATGAAGTTTTATAACTTCTAACCTCTGAAATTGTACTTCTGTTGACAGCAGAGATCTCATACCCATACCTTTGGGAGATATACACATCTGAGGGCTGGTTCTTATTTGCCATCCCAGGCCAATTAAAAAGTCTTTCAGAGTGACTCAAACTATTAATTTAGCTAAGGCTTGGGCACTGACTTACCATTTAATTTTGAGTCACTAGTTTCTGACTAAAATCCCCCTCTAAATTCCCGCTGTCAGCTGTAGTGTAACTCTTTGGCTCAGGATTTGCTTTTAAATGTGAAAGAAGGTTCAGTTTGGGGGGAGCAAAATATATCAAAACATATGTGCTCAAGTATCTGACTTGCTAGGTATTTTTACATGTAATGCAAAATACAGGTGACAACATTTAAAGCTCTGATGGGTCTAAAATGCAGTTTATTTAAAGCTACTTCCACTTTTTTCTGTATATCATGTTAGGACAGTTAAAATGGCTGCAGGAAGTTTGCTATCATGTCATAAAATTTAAAAAAATATATTAAAAATTTATGTGGCTCTATGCCACTATACTTGATAGGTTTGCTCAGCACTAAAACCTCACCTTTGGAATACTATCCCTACTGCATTTTGCTTGACTTAATCTAGAAAGAACTTCTGGGCATAATGCGAAGTTTCCTAGTCATAAGCACTGGTTCGTATAGGGGACTTCAATCATCCTGATATCTGCAGAGATGGCAATACAGCAGTGCACAGACAATCCAGGAAGTTTTTGGAGCGTGTTGGGGACAAATTCCTGGTGCAAGCGCTGGAGTGGCCAATTAGGGGCCACGTGCTTCTTGACCTGCTGCTCACAAATAGGGATGAATTGGTGAGGAATGTAGTAACGGATGGCAACTTGGGCAGCAGTGACCACAAGATGATCGAGTTCAGGATCCTGAGGAAAGGAAGGATGGAGAGTAGTGGAGTAAGGCCCCTGGACTTCAGAAAAGCAGACTTCAACTCGCTCATGGAACTCATGGGCAGGATTGCCTGGGAAGCCAGTCTGAGATAGAGAAGAGTCTAGGAAAGCTGGCTGTACTTTAAAGAAACCTGACTGAAGGTGCAAGAACAAATCATCCCAATGCATAGGACGACTAGCAAGTATGGCAGAAGACCGACTTGGCTTAGCAAGGAATTCTTCAGTAACCCAAGTCACAAAAAGGAAGCTTATAAAAAGTGGAAACTTGGAAAAATATATAGACAGGAATACAAGAACATTATCTGGACATGCAGGGATGAAGTCAGGAAAGCTAATTTGCAATTGGAGCTGCAGCTAGCAAGGAGTGGGAAGGGTAACAAGAAGGTTTTGACAAGTATGTTGGTAGCAAGAGGAGGATCAGGGAAAGTGTGGGTCCCTTACTGAATGGGGGAGGCAACCTTATGACAGAGGATGCAGAAAATGCTGAAGTGCTCAATGCCTTCTTCACTTCAGTCTTCACAGGCAAGGGCAGCTCCCAGACTACTGCACTGGGCAGCACAGTGTGGGAAGGAGGTGAGCAGCCAACATTGGTGAAAGAGCAGGTTAAGCACTATTTAGAAAGGCTAGACACATACAAGTCTGTGCGGCCGGATACTATATACCCGAGGGTTCTGAGGGAGTTGGCTGATGTGACTGCACAGCTGCTGGCCATCATCTTTGAAAACTCATGGCGATCAGGAGATGTCTTGGATGATTAGAAAAGGGCAAACATAGTACCCATATTTAAGAAAGAGAAAAAAAGGAGGTCTCAGGAAACTACAAACCAATCATCCTCACCTAACTGACTAGAAAAATCATGAACCAGATCCTCAAGAAATCCATTTCTAAGCACTTGGAGAAGGAGAAGGTGATGAGGAAGAGTCAGCATGGATTTACCAGGAGCAAGTCATGCCTGACTAATGTGACTGCTTTCTATGACAAAGTGACTGGCTGCGTGGACATAAGGAAACCAGTGAATGTAGTGTACTTTGATTTTATAGCATGGCTTTTGATACGGTCTCCCACAACATTCTCGCAGGCAAGCTAAAGAAGTATGGGATGGATGAATGGACTGTAAGGTGGACAGAAAAACTGGCTGGAGCATCAGGCTCATATGGTAGAAATCAATGGTTTGATGTCTAGTTGGCAGCCAGTATCAAATGGAGTGCCCCAGGGGTCAGTCTTGGGGCCAGTTTTGTTCAATGTCTTCATCAATGACCTGGAAGATGGCACAGAGTACACGCTCAGCAAGTCTGCAGATGACACCAAGCTGGGTGGAGACGTTGATATGCTGGAGGGTAGGACTAGGATTCAGTGACTTAGACATATTGGAGGATTTGGCTAAAAGAAATCTCACGGGGTTCAACAAGTGCAAGTGCAAAGTCCTGCACTTGGGACAGAATAATCCCATGTATAACTATAGGCTGGGGGCTGACTGGCTGAGCAACAGCTCTGCAGAAAAGAAGCTGGGGGTTACAGTGGACAATAAGCTGAATATGAGCCAACAGTGAGCCCTTGTTGCAAAGAAGGTTAATGGCTTACTGAGCTGCACTGGTGAGTGTTGCCAGCAGGTCAAGGGAAGTGATTATGCCCCTCTATTCAGTACTGGTGAGGCCACTTCTGGAGTACTGTGTTCAGTTTTGGGCCCCCCGCTACAAAAAGGATGTGGACAAATTGGAGACATTCCAGCAGAGGGCAACAAAAATGGTGAGGGGGCTGGGGCACATGGCTTATGAGGAAAGACTGATGGAACTGGGCTTATTTAGTCTAGAGACGTGGAGACTAAGAGGGGATTTAATACCAGCCTTCAACAACCTGAAGTGGGGGGTTTGAAAGGGGATGGAGCTAGACTGTTTTCACTGGTGGCACGTGACAGAACATGGAGCAATGGTCTCCATTTGCAGCAAGGGAAGTTTAGGTTAGATATTAGAATTTTCTCATTGGGAGGGTAGTAAAGCACTGGAACAGGTTACCCAGAGATGTTGTGGAATCTCCATCCTTGGAGGTTTTTAAGAACTGGATAGAAAAAGTTTTGGCTGGGATGATCTAGTTGGGGACTATCTTGCCTTGAGCAGGGGGTTGGAGTAGATGACCTCCTGAAGTTAATTCCAACCCTGTTTTCTATAATGCTATGTTTATTGGATCTTCTTTGCTTGGTTTTTTTAGTTTCATACTAAACCGTGGCTTGCTGTCCTCATTTTACTTAATTTCTCTTCTGCATTAACGAGTGCCAAGCTGTTACACTAACAAGGACTCTAATGTATAAATAAAACTAAAGGAAATAGAAGATAAGACTCTAGAAGGAGTGTGTTGAATCAAGAAACAAAACTAACTGCCTATTTGCAAAAATCTTCAGTATTTAAGAGACAAAGTAAAAATATCACACAAAGCATGTAATGGGTTAGCTCTGAAATTGTAATCATAATCCAGAGGATTGTTAATTTAAGCAGCCCACAAACTTGCATGGCTTTAATGATTTCCCACTCAAGCAATCATAGTAGTAAGGTAACATCTGGAATCTACTACTTCAGAAGGTCATGGAGTTGATTACTGTAACTGGATTAAAATTGGAGCCGGATAATGTTATTACTGGTAATAACTGTAGTTATGCAATTCAAATGTTTCTTCATGTCAGAAACTAAACTAGCCACAGGGTAATAGGAATTCATTCTTCTTCCTCCTCCCTACCCAACATATTTTTTTAAAAAAGGAATCACATACTAACTACTGCTTAAGACAAGACACTAGATTTGATAAACCAATACACTGGCCTAGTAACAAATACTAAACCCAATGTACCCCTTGAGCAACAATACAACTATAATCTGCATAATTAGAAGGAGTATCTACAGTTGTACCTCTAGCTGGGAAGCTTAATTGCTGTAGTACTGCTGCATTTATGCAGTAGCCTGTTTGAGGCTTCTGTGAGAGCTCTCCTAAGCAGGAATTCCAGTCTTCCACATTATGAACTGAGCAGTCTTGTAGATTCGTAACAAGGTCTCCTACAAAAAGTCCTCTTGGCCCATTGGCAGGAGAATCCTTCAAAAGAAAAAAAGTGATAGATTTCTTGCCATACCTTCTCTTAATAATGCTAGAATCAGTTTCTTCCAAGGAACAAAAATTCTCAGGCACCCTATCTTTTCTGCAGAAGCAGAATTTATTTTGATTTCAAGGTTAGCCAGGGCATTAAAAAAACCAAAAGCCTCCATAAAGTGTGGCTTCCTTCACATGGATATAAATATGTATAAACCAAATGTTCCAAATATCCCAAAGACATCTGAAATCTGGGCAATCCATTTTATACACAGGAATACTGTTTTTCCTGTCATTTTAGATTCAAGAGACATAAGGCAATACCCCTAATTCTCAAACAGTACTTCTGGGAGATGTTACGTCAAAGTACACCTCTCCTTCCCGCCCCATAGAGGATACAAGTTATGTCAGCTCATCTTTTATCTAAGGCAGGGGTGCTCAACCTCTGGTCCACAGACCAAACACAGCTCTTCAGGCCTTTGCATCTGGCCTGTGGGGCTCTGCAAGGGTTGGGAAATTTAGCAGGGTGGGGAGTGGTGGCCATTAATATGACCACCCTACCCCTGAAAAATTCCCAAACCCAAGCCCTATGTGCCCAGGCAGAGCCAGGCCAGGCCCTCTCCCCCTGTGGGGCTCAGTTGGGACTGTGTCAAACTCCCTCCCACCATGGGGTCAGGCCATACCCCTTTCCCCACTACAGGGCTGGGTTGGGGGAAGGTCAAGCCCCCTTCCCTCCCCCGCTCAATGCTGGGTCATAAC